GGTGGTGGTGCTGGTGCTGGTGTTGGTGTTGGTGTTGGTGTTGGTGTTGGTGTTGGTGTTGGTGTTGGTGTTGGTGTTGGTGGTGTTAGTAGTGGTGGTGGTGGTCGTAGTAGGAGAGGAGTAGCGTATAAGGGGCAGTCGTACTACTAGTACTACGACGACCTGTTTTTGAAAAGATCCACAATTTCTTAAACTTCAAACCCTAGTCCTGGAGTCCCTAAATACCGACTCCTCAAACTACGACATTTCTTGAATATGCAGCCAGGAGCATCTTGCGGAGAGACTCCTCAAGCGTGCGCACAGTGTCCTCCGACAGCTCTGAGGTATGCAGCACATGATGCAAACAAAGCATTTCATCACGTGTATCTGCGGATGATGTGGCATCTGTGGGCATGATATGGGGGGACTGATCCCGTTCAAGCAGCCCCCCAGCAGCAATACTTCAAAATCAAACCCCTCTTGGCGGCTGCACACTTGGCATCTCTAGCACCACAAAAGCTAAGACCCTCCTTAGGGCCCCTATAACAGTGGGGACCTAGGACCTAGGAGAAAAGCCGCACTGGTGAGATCTCGGGGAGCGCGGGTTTGGGGCGCCATCCGCAGTCCATGCTGGGAAGTGCACTCTGCCAGAATCCTCCGAGCGAGGTTCCCCCAAGAAACATGCCGGCCCCAAAGCCGCGGTCCAAAACACCAAACAACAGCCAGAAAGACAGCTCCTCTGCATCCTTCCTCTGCTGGGAGATCCTGATTGCGCAGGCAAGCTAAATCTGATAAGTGTCTTGCTGCTTTGAACTAAAACAAAATTCTGGGGGTGCTTCGCATGTGTAGGCAAATTCATCCTGTGCTTGATGGCGGTCTCTTGCAGTCCATCTAGGTAACGCTTGCTGGGCAGTGGTGACGCTCATATTGTCAATAATCAATTAGGGCCCTTGTTGAAGCTTAAGTCTAAGACTGACCATGGGACGACCAGCAGTCAAGGAAGCCTGGCGGTATTCCAGGATACTTTAAGTTAGCCTTTTCATACAGGAAACAAACATAATTACCCCAACCCAGGCATGGTTAGGGCAGCCCAGTAGAATCTTTGCGGGGAATTTATAATCTGAACGGGTCTGAGGAGCAAGTCTGTCTTCTCGACTGCCAGGACTTCAAGCTGAGCCGCTTCCTGCGCCGAGTGCCGTCACATGCACGTGGGTAGAAAATAAAATTGCGGGCGTTTTCATGCAGAACTGTCTGTGCCACGGTCCTTGACACAGCACTCCACATTTGAGGTCTGCTTGTGGCTTAGGTCTCGCATCGCGAATTTTTTTGTGCATGGGCTAAGGATGAATCTAGAACGGCTCTAAACAAGGATCAAGGAAGATGTTGCTTCCAGTTTGAGGTGTCTGTTTTGCGAATTTAGCCTTCAAAAGCATGAGCTGTCCAGAGCTAATTACTCTTGAACCTACTTGAATAACAAACCTCACAAGATATGAGGTACTAAGGGCCGTGCAGGTCCTTGTGTAACAGCGGTACAGGTGGTCCGATGCTTCTGAAGTTGATCATATATTTTAATTTCCAACAATGGGGGGGACCCCAATATGGACCCCAATACACGATACTCCTTAAAATGGGGACACCAAAAAGGGAACCCTAATCTTGGGAAACCCAAAACCGCTGTAACCCGCAATATAATGCAAGTGTACATTGGATTTTCCACATTCTTTTTCCGCTTTGCTTTTACAACATTGGGGAAACCCCATATGAACTATAGTCTAAACTCCTAGTATCCCCCTTAAGAATCCCTATAGTAGCCCCCCATATAATCCCCTATAACCCCCCTTTTAAAGGAGTTTAGACGGGATGACATCAAGCCAGGCGCCGTCCACCACTTCCAGCCCATACCAGAACCCTTAATTGGGATTATGGGGCCCCTAAAGAGTGGGTACTGAGGCCTGAACAGAGGGCAGTTGGAGACCCTAAACCCTAAATCCTAAACCCTATATCCTAAACCCTAAACCCTATATCCTAAACCCTATATAACCCTCTTTAATTTTCCTTCAACAAATGCTAAATAAAGCAGAACTATAGTAGGTCTGCTCTCAATGAATCCCAGGTATATCTACCCATGAACCTCCAAGTAGAGGATTCCTTGAATTGACTATGAAAGCATATAACCATGGAAACCTTACGTACGTAGTTTAGACCCGTACTCCAAGTAGGAAAATATACTAGAATACTCTATAATAATGTAATGTACCATAATATACTAAAACTATCAGATACCATAATATACTATAATATACTACCATATATTATAATATACCAGGTTCCGGGGTTTGAAGGACATTGGGTTGTTCCGTCCTCCAGCTTGTTCCTCATCTGGCTGATTTTTTCCTGAACTCGAGGGCTTCTGTCGCGTGGTAGCAAGCGGGTTTAGGGTGCTAGGGTTGAGGCTTCCGGGCTTTTGGAACGCTTGAGTCCGTGAGATCTGCTCATTTGAGGGTCTAGGTTTGGGAGTTTGATTGGCAGGAAGGCAGGAAAAAGATCTGAGTACCACCGGATACCGTTTCGAGTATTTATGTCTCCCCACTTTTGAATCCCCGGTCTTGCAAACAGCGCCTGCGATGCGTGGTTCTTCTTGGCTTCCACAGCCAGAGCCGCCTGGCTTTGTCTCAGAGTTGTGGGGCCTATAGACCCTGGGGCAGGGCTTAATGACCCGCAGAACAGCACTAGTACGTCCCCTCGACTGACACTCGCGAACTGGCAGTGCAGGTCTGAAAGTTGTATCAAACATGGGATTTGCAATCTGGAGTCCCCTCCTGAGCTTCCTTGAGCTGGTTCTCAAGCTCCACGATCGTGTCGGCATCCTGAAAGGCAGCTCTACAGCGGATGGCTAGTAGCATCTGCCTCATCAGGCAACCGTATTGATGCACAAAGCCGTGGGCTTCAGATTCAGGGAGGACAGCATCCACATGATCATCATCATAATCAGTATCACTGTCATCTTCATCCTCATGGTCATCAGCATCAACATCACCATGATAATCATCGTCGCCGACCTACCGTTGCCGGCGACACGGAAATAATGCGAAATGCATCATTGCAAGCAATGCGTTGCGTCTTCATCTTTGCTTAAATCGTCAGCATCCTTATTACCATTGATATTGTTGCTGCTGCTGCTGCTGCTGCTGCGGCGGATGATGAAGTTCTGCTGCCATCTGTGTTGCTCTGACCGCAACTTTCATGCGCGTAATTTGCTCTTGCTTTGACTTACGCATTGAGCATTCGCCCCCAACAATCCGAAGCCCGCGATATGTCCCGGGGTTAATGCTCACAAAATAGTACCTATAGGGTCTCCAGGGACAAAAGCAACAAAGGATTTTCACCTGCCATATACCAGCTACAGTAAAGCAACAGCCATGCCACGGTGGATCGGCTGCATGACGAAAGACTCTTTCCTATGCAATCCCATGAAAATCTTTGCATAACCATTATACTTGATTCTCAATGCATGGGGCTGTCCTGTTCGGCGTTATGCTTTGCCGTTTGGGCCGTCTCCTCCAGCCAGTCGATGTGCAGTCGAAGAGCCTGCCCATCCACCCGAACAAGCATCAAATCTAGATTTCTTGAACTTGGGTTTCTGCTGGCATGAACGTCTCGGAGCTTGGGATCTACGGCATGAACTCCATCTTGACCTGTTACGGTTGCATCCCCCGGCTTCGCGACAACTCCGAGACTTGTTTGAGTGCTTCACAGAGACCAGGGCGTGAAAGAAGCGGGGTAGAACTTTTGACCCTCCTGGAGGGGACAGAATAGTAGTTTCCATTTTCTTTTCCATTATCCCTAGATCGCCCCTATATAACCCCTGTATAACCCGTATATAAACCCACTAAGGTTATAAAATAGTAGGTTCCATTTTCTTTTCCATTATCCCAATGTAATCCCAATATAACCCCAATACAACCCCAATATAACCCCAATATTATACCCCAATATAACCCTAGTATTCTATAGTAGTTTCCATTTGATTTTGCAGCAGTGAGGATTGCGTAGGGTTTAGGGTCTAAGACCCAACCCCTAAACCTTGCTTTTTGTTGTTGTTGAACCCGTGCCGGAGCCCGTGGTGCTTAGCTACACATTGTAACCCTAAACTCTGAACCCCTCGAGCCTTAATCCCATCTCAAAGAGAGTTCTGCCTCGATCTCCTCTCTGCTGCTCATCACCCGCGTCTGCAAAGTCTTCTGGGCCTCTTGGGCCTGCAAAAACTGAGCTATCCATGCCGTATTATGGGTTTACAAAATATATGCAGGATAAAATAAGGCAGATGTAGGGCTTGAGGATGTTAGCCCCAATGATGGAAACACAAATGGACAGGAAATCGAGCATGAAATGGAAACTAGGTCTAGAGATTCGGGAGCTTGAAAAAGAGCCCTTAAGAGACTGTAGCGTGTATATAGTCACCCTCAAGTAGATACTAGTAGAATATGGCTTTGGGCACATTTTAATAAGATCCCCCCAAAACCACCCTATTCTATCTACTTAAGGGGGACTATAAGGGGATGATGGGCTCCCACCCTGGTATGGATTATGGAAGGCCTGTTGGGATAAACCCCATGATGTGCTGCAGGGATTAAAGCCTGCACCCTGCCCTCACTTACTTAAGCCACATATGTTTTGTGAGGCTTTCCCTGACGGCGGCCATCTGCAAAAACAACAACTCCTGAGGAGCTGCTGCTAGGGGTGTGGTGCTGCTAATCTACGTACTTAGAACACGTCTGCGCGTGGCTTCCTTGCTTGCAACGTGGGCTTAGATGATCTCTGTTCACAGCAGCTGGGCGTTTCTGGCATATGGTGTGCAACGAAGCGGCTGCCAAAACTACCGATTGCAACCATCCCGCTCAGTGGCCTGTAGTACTTGCAGCATCCATTGAGACTGTGCTCTTACGTAGCTCCAACTCCATACCTGAGTAGACTTGAAAGCTGTTTTATTCCAGCTTAAGGGCGTAGCAGTCCTGAACGACATAAGATGCGCCACCACGAAAGACTCCAGGAACACAGCACGCGACACATGTCCAGGAGAAGCTCTCGGAGCCTCCCTTCCCAGCATCCAGACTTGACTGATGCCGAAGATAGCTTGCATGATGAGTACTTCAAAAATAGTCTCAAAGCAGGCAACTCTGTTCATCTGTAGAATCTTCCCTACTTGAATGAACCAGGGGCCAGCATACCTTGCCCCTAAACCCAAACATCCTTAAAACTTGAGCGCCAACAGTCCGAAACCGGTCCTTGAGTAACCGGCGCGCCTCCGTAATCTGGCTTTGCAGAGCCTCTTCCTTGTTTCTGTGCGCCTCACCAGCACTCGAAATTGCAGGAGCCAGCGCAACAGTACTTGTAGCTAGGCCAAGGACAACCTTTTGCATCCAGTCTGCAAACCTCTGCCCCACTTGCCCTAAGAAAGGAGTCTAATTAGACGAAGGAGCTATTCTTCAGCCACTATTTCAAGGGAAAGCACAGAAATACCATGAAAGATCAATCTGCCCGAGATATCAACCACTGCAGGAGACACTTCGGGAAACAAGGAGGATTCTCATTACAAAGACACACAGCCTTCAGCCTTGAACCTTAAACCTGAAACCCAGGCGCTGCAAAAGGCGGCCCTGCCTACAGCTACGGATGCACGTGGTCAGCTGAGCCACGGTTTAGAAGTGTGACACAAACCTAAAACACAAAACCGTTGCTTCCGCGATGATTTTCTGCGACCCACGCGCAGAGTCCAATGTTGCTTCCGTGACTTGCTTAGCATGTGCTTCTGCGTGCCCTGACGCACCGTGTTTTGGTTCTGCGCTGTTCGTTTGCCACGAAGAGGCTGTGATTATACAGCACCCAGCTCATGGAACGGAAAGACATGTCTGGTCTTGTCATAAGCTTCCGCAAGAATAAGCTTCCGCGAACTCTTCTGCATCCTTCTGTGCACGCAGTTTTGTACCAAGTAATGTCTCCGTCTTTAAGTACACTGCCGCGGATCACTTGCCAGAATAAGGGGTCAAATGCCGACTCCTTTTCCGAAGTCAGCCCAGCACAACGTTCACTCCTGAAGCGCAACAAGTTGCCAAAGCAAACATACACAATGTAAAGCTTCTCTGCACAATATCCGTGCAACTGGTCTTCCCACGACATGTTGAACACCCGTTCAGCCTCGGGAGCTCCTGACATAATTGTTGATCCTGAGGTTCGGAAGGGTTGCCCTATCTCCACCACACTCAAAGGCAACTGCCGCAAGGATACAGGGGCTTTTTCAGTATCAGTCTACCTCATGTATCCGCAAAACAGCGAAATGAACGTCGCCTGCCCGGGGCCCAGAGTATCGGTAAATTCATACCATAATTCCCTGGCATGCACATACCCCAACCCCAACCACACATAAGACTCATGCGGGTAGAGGGAGTGAAGGTCTCGCGACGGATTTCATGAAATCTACAGCCAAGGCCGCCGACCTCCAAACCCTGTTATATAGGAGATTAATGCCTGCAACCCCCCCAAACCCCAACTTCTGTCTTACAATGCTTGAACGCTTCTCAACTTATCAACGCCAAACGGGAAACCATTGTTAGGACCTGGTTTTGGGTATATTATAAGACCCCCATATACCCCATATTCTATCTACTTAAGGGGGACTCTAGACCCTAAACCCCTAAACCCTAAACACTCAATAGTAGTTTCCATTTTCTTTTCCATTATCCCCAATATAACCCCTACATTCTATCTACTTAAGGGGGACTATAATAGTTAAACGGATTGTGCCTGACTGCGCACCGTCAGCTCCCGGTCAGCTTTGAGAGCTTTCCTGGGCTGATCTGGGAGCTTCCAAAACTTGTGGGTCTACACTCCTGGAAACTAACATGGAAACCCAAAAGGGGCCCTATAAAGACTACAGTCCCTCTAAAATGGGGCTATATGGGTTTCCATGTTAGTTTGGGTTCAGCTTTAATAAGGAGACCCCAAAACAAAACAAAAAAGGGAAAAGGAAACTACTGGGGTAATTACCTAGGGAAGTCTAAACTCCCAGTATCCCCCTTAATAACCCCTATGGTAGTCCCCTATATGATCCCCTATAGAACCCCGTTTTGGGGGATTTAGACTATAGCTCATCTGGGTTTAGGTACCCATGAACCTCCCAACCCTCAAGGGGAGAACTCCTTGATCTGCTCACTAATATATAGGGTATATAGGGGGGACTCTATACTCGACGAATATTTTTCTGAAGCCCCCCGCGCTTCAGTCACAGGTGACTCTGAGTGGGGGGGTCGGAGTGCTGCAGATGTTTAGCTTTCGCGTTGGTGGTACTGCGGGTCCTTTAGGCTTTCCATGCGCTTCCATAGTCGAGCAGCCATTAGCATGCATTCTCATGGATTATAAAATGCACTACTCCTGGGACTCCTAGGAAATCCCTTCTGCGCTCTAAAAAAGTATGTGCAGCACCTCTTTGCAGATAAATAAGGTGAAGATCACATGGTGCATGGGTTGGGTTATTTGCAGAATACTCAAAGCCCCGACCATCAGCTTGGACTGCTGTGCCAACAAGTTCTGGGAAGCGAAGCTTGGTTTTTGCGCTCCTCGCTAACCCGCTTGATAGATATCCTGGAGCTATGAGATGCCTTGATTGCAATAGCTACTCTCAGGCATCTGAACTAGCAGGCATGTTTTAATTTGGAATGATTGCTTGTCCTTCGAAATAGTGCCTGTCATTGAATGTCCCAAATGCTTGGCTTCAAGTGTGATTTGTACTGGGTCTCCAGTGGCGAAGGTGATCGCAGGGGTGTAAGCTGAAGTGTCAACACTTCTGCACGGCGTCTAAATTGATTTCTTCGTTTCTGTTTCTAAGACAGAAGGACATTCGGCTAGGTGGGGCAGGGTAACAAACATGAGGGCTACATCATCTTCCTGTGAGCTATAGTCTCAAGCCCCTAGTATCCCCCTTCATAACCTCGAAAGTTGTCTCCTACATAATCCCTTAGATACACCCCATGTCTCATATTTGATGTCATGCCTCGGTTTAGCGGCAGACCATGTGTTACAGGGGACGCCTCGCACTTCTTCGTCTAGCGCCGAGGTCATTGAACATGACTGTCGTCAACAGGATGCAAAAGTAAGGACACGGTCGGCAATCCTGTCTGACACCTGTCTGAGAATTTCCACGGATTTGTTCTGCAGAGCAGCCTTGTCTGCAAAACTGGGGATCCGCGGCGTAAGTCCGATCTCATACTATGATTCTCAAAGCTAGAACGACACAGTTTGTCAAATGCTTGCTAGCACGTGGGCTGATAGGTAAGTTTTGGCTGAGTACTCTTGCTAGCAACGCAGCATAAGTATGGGCACCATAGTGCTACAGTGCTACCGTGTTTACGCAAGCCAAGGTCAGTGTGCAGTACATAGTGGCCACGTTCGTACACCAGGCGCTCTTGCGTCATAGTATCTGGAAGCGCTATGCGGTGATGCGAAACTGGGTCAGAGTCTGCATCCTCATCTCTATAGATACATACCCAGTAGGGTTGGGTTGCTTTCCATTGTTCTGGGCTTGTCTGTTCCGCAAAGCACTCCTTCACAACATCCAGCAACGTTTGAAGGTTAGGGCTTGTGTCGGATTTGGAGCTCACAAGCCAACCCAGATAAACCACTAAACCTTTCTACCCAGACTCCAAAATCATACAATACGCCTACAATCCCGACATCATCCCTATTACTCCCATCCCCCTGGTACTTAATGACAAAGCCCTGCACTCCACGCCCCCCACCCAGATAAAACATATTCCCAATATATCCCAATATCATACGGCAGGCCGAGGTGATAAACACTGAGCAGCGACTGTATGACCCCACCTGAACCACGTGAACAGTTTCCATGTCATTTCCCATCAGATTTGCCCATCTGATTCTCCATTCTGGGGGTAACGTCTCGAAACTCTAGAAAATCCAAAAATAATCCCTGTGCCCTGACCCTACCTAACAACCACCGTGAAGGAGACCCCATGTCCACATATGAGCATGGGCCGAAAATCCCCTAATTCGCGAGTACTGGCCATTGCTCATATGGTTCTTATACCAACCCTACCGAATCCCCATCCGGCTCCCGCCGATAATCCCCATCTAAACTTAAACCCAAAACCCGATTCCACACACAAGGCTTTCTGGTCCCTATTACAGAAAACCCAGGAATTGAAGATTGGCGTCTCTTCGGCTGCCCAGGCCCTCTCCTCCTGGGGTTTGGGGAGTCGAGTTTGGGGGTGTCATCGCTGAAGGGATTCAGGGCAGAGGTGGTTTATGAAATTAAGGTTATATAAGGGCATAGGTGGTCAGTCATCAATCACAAGCTGTTATCCAGTTATCCAAGCCTCTCAAAGCTTGAAAGGTTCTTCGAGTGCGGAAATGGCGATCGCCACGAGAAGTAAAGAAATGAGAGGGGCTGAAATAATGACAACAGGGCTTGAGGTCATATGATGCGTTCAATTCTACAAGCAATATGGGTCTTGAGCTGTTGTTGTTTCGTTGCAATCAAGCTGAATAAGCCTATACCCTATATATCCCTATACCAGCCTTATTGGACATGTCAAGACATGCACGCCTATACAAGACCACACGCAGTGCAGGGCCGAGGGTGCAACTGCAGTGTGTTGCTTGGGTCTTATCATGTTTCTCCATGTCCGTTGCGAGAGAAAAGCCTCAAACCCCCTAACCGCAATCGCTGCAGAGAAAGAATCATGCAAACACACCTCAGGCAACCTCAAAGCCATCAGAAACATACCTAGATGTAGACCCCAAAGCCCTCAACGCTAGTTAATGCCCAAAGCCCAGAGCCCCAGGCGCAAACTCCAGAACCCTGAGCCCTGAGACTGAGGCGCCCACGCACCTTCAAGTTAAAATCCCTAAGCCCTAACTCCTCCAGTAGTAAGCTACCATTATCCCGTTGTGATCCTGAGATTTCCTATGAGGGTACCTCAGGGCTAAAGGCGAACTCATGATTCCCGGCTTGCCTGCTCGGCCAGCCTGGCTGTGGCAAGCTTCTGCGCCTTCTTTGCCTCACATGGAAGGCAGACACAAACATTTGGGATTAAGGATTCAGTGTCTGGCATTCCCATTATCAATTTGATGTGAGTCTTTCGACATCGCAGCGGCCACTGCTGTGGAAGCAACGGCACATAGACAGAAAAAAATCACGATGGAGGGCACATGTGGCTAGTCATGTTACAGATAAGGCTCACCACAGCTAATAATGTACCTTGCCACCCCCTAAGAATGAACACCCCCCAATATTGGTGGGTAGTTATTAGCTATAAGCCCTAAACCCTAAATCTTATGCATATCGTATGGCAGCTTCCATTCCTCTGCATAAACCCTTCGAGATCCTTCTTGGGGTTTAATTGTGTTTGGAGCCACTTCTGGGTGATCTTCAATGAATGAGCAACCCAAGGTTTTAGGGATTAGCGTCTAGACTCCTAGTATCCCCCCTAGTATCCCACCAATAACTTTGGGGGTTTTACGTAGAGTTTAGCGTCTAAACTCCTCGTATCCCCCTGAGTATCCCCCTTAATCACCCTACGACCAATCTAGGGTCCTAGTATGCCCCTTACTAGCCCCTATACTACTCCTATGTAACTCCTTAAGGAGTTTAGACTGTAGCTCATATGACAGCAACCTGAGCCCTGCGATTCTCAATGTGTAACTGAAGGAGATTGTTTCCCATGGATTTAAGTAGATAAGACATAGGGTAGATCTGAGGAATGCCATGTTCTATCTACTTAAGGGGACTATATGGTAGTTCCCAAAAATAGGGGGACCCCAATATGTACCCCAAAATACTATAGTCCTTTTTATGGAGACCCGCATTTTGGGAAACCCCCATATATTCTGAAGACTGGATCTTCTGGCTTCTCAAACTGAATCGTCCACATGCAGTTGATGGGGCGCGCTCTAGGCTCCTGAGCCTGAAGCATCCCATGTAAACAAAAACACTTGCCCTGGAAGCCCTTGCAAAGAATCATTGACAACACTTTCCAGCCCCCTTAATAGTAACCCTATTATAATATAGTAGTTTCCTTTTTCTTTTCCACTATCCCAACATTAACCCAATATTGCCCCAACATTACCCCAATATCCTAAACCCTAGTAACACCACAAAAAGCCTCCTCGAAGGCACGCTTGCTTGCAGTAAGCTGGCGTTCCAAGTCCATCACCTCCTTCGAGAGGCTTGCGAATGTCAGGGTTCAAGTGTGCCGGGCCTCGGGTTTACAATTCTGCGGCTATGAGTTTAGGTGTTGGGGTGCTTGGAATTTAAAGTTTAGGGGTGTAGGAATTTGGGGTTCAGGGCTTCCTGGATGAGATGTTTACTAATTACGACTCGCGAAACACCCTTCGACATGCCCATGTTGGCCACCATTGCCGTGCTCTTTCCCCTCAAAATCCTGCACAGGGGGCTACTCGACGGTTTTTTCCTCCAATCCATAGTGCCTTTTTGTTCATCTGCCTCAGTACAAGAAATGTGAAGTGGCAGAAGCCTTGGTGCGTCATACCTTCAGAAAATGAGAGAATGGAAGCTACTATAGTATATAGGGGTCATATAGGGATAATGGTACAGGGGTTATATTGGGATACAGGAAAATAGGGAGTGATGTATTGATGAACTATATACAGCACCATCTCGTACAGTGTAGTACCTAGCAGTACCTCTGCGCCATGGGATCACCAAAGGCCAGGACTAGCGGAAGTTCCATGTTTTGTGGGAGAGGTTAAGGCCCCAATCATCCCCAATCCCTAAACCCTATAGACATTTCCCTATAGACATTTTGGACCCCAGAGATAAATCCTTATCCTTGAAAAAAAAGTTCTCCTCCAGTGAAGGAGGTGAGAAGCTAGCTGCGTGGACGGCTGGCGTCTCCTGGGACGAGGGGCTCTGACCATGATTTCAGAATTTAGGGGGCTTCGGGCTTAAGTTTCACAACTACCCCTTAAGCCTAAACCCGAAACCCTTTAGGGTACAGAGGGCTTCGTGTCCATGGCGATTCACAGGCTTAGGGTGTCGTGCTGGATGTGGGGCTTGGGTTGTGGATCAAGGCTTACGGTCACAGATTCTGGGGTTTAGAGTTTAGCATTTGGGTTCAGGGCTTAGGGTTTTGGGTGCAGGATTTTGAACTGCTACTCCGCCAAACTGTAAAGCCCATCACAGGAATTTGTCAACAAATACAAGATTCCAGGGGCGGGTAGGATGACCAAGCGTTCTTGAAGGTTCATTATGAATCCGTTTTCCCTAATATTATTAAAACAGGTTCCCAGAATTCCAAGTTCTGACATCTGCCCGCAAGATTCTGAGTTGGGGGGTCTCTAGCATGACTCTCAGGGATTAGGGATCTCCTTGATTTCCGCTTGTTTTCCATTTTTCAATAAAATGCATTTGTATAAAATCTGAATGCTATCTTAATTAGGTTTATTGCGATTCTAAATCGTTACTTCGATGCTAATTAGATTCTCATTAAGGTCGCAACTGATCTTAACCAGATTCTTCAACTGATTCAAATCAGATTCTGAATTCTGAATAGATTTCGACGAGATTTTAAACAGATGTTAAGTTGTTAGGTTATGTGTTTAATTTGTGTTTCGATTTGGTTTAATTAGATTCTAACTATTGGATTTCATTTTTTAAAATTTGATCTTTAATAGGTTTGATTATGATTTCATTGCGATTTTCTTTCGGTTTATCCTTAAAGGGGGTTATACATGGGGATTAAAGAGCGTAGTTTAGTAGGGCTTATCAAGAGGGATACTAGGAGTTCAGGCTATAGCTCACATACACATTCTCTGGCCCGCAAGTCCGCCGTCGAGGATTGCGGCTGACCGAGACACGACATGCTTGGATTGGTATCCATGGCCATGTCATGGAAGCCTGCGCGCCAGCACAGTATCTTGGTAACGAAGATCTGCATCCACAGGCGAATTTTCCTAGCAGAAGGGTACTCTCTGTGCCAGAATGCGCCAGCTGTCTTCCACGATCCCAACTTCGAAAGCTGCACGCTGTAGCCAAGCTGTAGCCGCCATAGCCCTCAACTCCGACTAACCATTGGAGGTCTAAAGCCAGAACTCTTCAACCACCGCTCCCTTTTTGCCCACTTGCTCTGCCTACATCCTCCCAAACCTCGAACATCCTCGAACTATTTTTCTCGTGCAGTAGTATCCTCGACGGTGTCCTGCAGCTCTGTCTCCTCGCTGACTCTTGTAGAGCCTTAGCAGTTGTACCAGGTGAGGTGCGATTCACATTCTTGTTTGGAGATTATCAACAACGTCTGCCGTCTTCATCATCTGAATTCTGCAGATGTCACATCCCACAGGACAAGAACGTGAGCAACGACCGCTGGGAGTCCAGTGCGGTTGCTGAAGGTTCGGCTCGCTTTGCTCTTAGATGCAAGGCAAGGAGGCTTCAGGAGCGTGATGAGATCATACAGAGATTAGCCACATCCTGGCAACGGCTAAACCTAACCCTGGATCACTGAAAGGCTTCGGCACACCCTCATCCCGCGTTCCGAGTAAGTCCTCAGCGTCAGTACAATACTGAGCCTGAACCCCCCATCACTCAATCATCCGTGGGCATGGCAGCAGCATGCCTTCTGAAAGCAATAATTGCAATTCCGAACAAAAAGGTGGCGGCAAGCAAACTTAACATTGTGTCACAGAGCCTGTGAGTATGTCACATATCCTGACAGTCCTACCTAGCCCTTTCTGACCGTTGAGTACCACAAGCCGTTGTTTCCGTAGACGCCGTAAACAATAACGTCGCTAAAGGCGCATACGTACCCTTGCCTTTACAATATTTTACAGCCCACAAATTCAATACATGACGTGCTTGAGGCTCCTGCTGTCACTGCCGAAAACTGTTATGTACGGCCTAACTACAAACAGTAGGGCTTCAATTCAAGCCAAAAGACATGCACCATGTTTTAACTACGACATCAACACGGGCGCGGGTCAATGGTCAGCATATGAATCACGTCACTTATCCACGCGGCACTTGAAACACACGGACAAAGCACCATACTCTTATCTCACCAGCTGGTTGTTGCATGACCTGAAGGCCCAGAAACCTTTCAACTTGCCGAAAATCGTCCATTCTATACACCAAAATACCGCAGTCCCTGTCAAGTTATAAGGACAACTAGCCTCATTGTCGGAAATACCCATATTCAGGCACCTGTAGTCTGCTAAGCTCTGCACTGGAGACCAGCTCCCTGATGCTCTCAGTCCTTGCCACAGATCACGAAAAGCGTTGACCCAAATTTGTGGGGTATGACGGCAGGCTTCGAGGACCTCTAGGATTTAAAGTTTAGAGGCCTCAACTATATAGCATAGTAGTCGAGAGGTTAAGGGTATCACGGCGGAGGGAGTTGGACCATTACTACTGCAGATCTGCTGCCAAGTCGGAAGCCCATGCAAGAGTGAGGGAAGCTGCGGATTCATTTAAGAGGAGTACATGGGCAGTAATGGCAGCAGCAGCAGCATCTAAATACTAACGTCCAAAAGATCCTTCACCCAACCTGCCTTGGTTATTGCCGTCAAATACTGGGACTCTGAGGGTCCACCAGCTAGGCCCCAAACATTCCTGAACATTTTAAGTCGGTTGTTTTCAAAAAGAAAAGCCTGTTGGAGCTCCACATTGTGGGGCCTCTTCTTAATTGTGGCACTTCTGCTCCATCTTGCTCGAAAAAGGCAAGAGCATGACTTGCTCTGAAGCACATTCAAACTACCCTCAAAAGCTTATTGACATTGCTTGAGGGTGCATGGCTGCCTTAGGCAGCCTTTCTTTTGAACTGAGGAGTGATCAGTCTCCACTGTGTTCACCCTAAACCCTAGACCCTAAACCCCTAAACCCCAGACCCTTAATTCCCTAAACTCAGGCAAGTAGCGGCAGCTCCAAGAATAGCATCATTCCCTCATCATCAGGTGGGACACGACGTTCGTACACGTCCGACACTTTCTCATGCTCCTGACTCTCTGCCCGGATAGGGGATTAGACAAAATAGGGGTTATATAGGGATAATGGAAAATAAAATGGAAACTATTATTTAGGATGTAGGGTTCTCTTGCCAAAAACTGACCTGACCTCCCTTGGCAATGAAGCCATCCGCAAACACAACATCCTCAAAGGAACCTTCCCTTTGCCGCAGGTCACTCACTTCCTTAGACTTACGAGCAGATTCTTGCACCAGGGCTTTCAAAGGTGCACTCGAGGCTACTTGTGAAACTTCATCCCATCCTACACCAAGCTAAAAGAAAGGCGCATCCAATCCATACCAAGTTCCAGCGTTGATACTCTAAGCCCCACAGAGTATAGCTGAATGTCATCACCTCAACACCAAAATAATATTCAGTCAGCCCCGCGCGAAACCTGAATCCTTAGCGTACAAACCGGAAACACTTACAAGATCACCCCTCTCAAAGAGTTCTATGGTTAAAGAGTTCTCGCATCCTCGACCGGCTCCCCGGCCATCTCAAAGATCCTTGGTCCGTCAGAATCCATACTCGCCCACGTACCCGACTGTCACCGAGAGTAGCGGCCCAGTGCGTGAACGGATCCCAACATGAACAACATCCGAAGTCATTTGGGAGGAGTTCTTTGCATTTGCGTTGCCCGAAGTCTGCTTCAAAGGGTCTAGGGCTCGCAACTGATGCAACAGAGAGCACGCTCGCCTTGACAAGGATTTAATTGCCTGTTGTTGAGCCTATGGCGTCTCCGTCAAGAAACGTTACAACAGGCCTCCAGGATTGTTCCTAAGAGGCAGATTCCAGAAGGGGATATCAGGGGCTCCCCCAGGGCTCCTGTCTAGTCCAATGCAAAAGAAAACAGAAAAAGAAATGCACGCGGTTGATGGGAGAAGTTTCGCACCAGCTAGGGCCCCCTAGGGACTAAAGGACTTGGGATGGTAGTCCCCCTTGAGTAAATAAAACATGGGGTATATGGGAATCTTGTTACAATATGCCCGAAGCCATATTCAATCTACTTAATAAAGACGATACACTAAACTCACTAAACCCCTTTGCCGCACCGAGCGACACCTTTTGCCAGTCCACATCCAAATGCTGGCAGCCAATGTGCCTTGGCAAAATCCTTAGCCACAGGGGCTTGTTGGGGTGAGAACATGTATATCTGCAAATATTTCAAAGTATAATATGTATATAAACGTATCTAGATACATGCTTCTATATATTTATCTGTATATCTATATATATGTATATGTATATATGTATATATACATGTGCAGAGAGAGGTGTGTAGGGAAGACATTTAGGGATTGGGGTTTCGGGATCCTTGGCCGAAGCACTAGAAGAATGCAGAATCGAAAAGATAAGAACATGGAACATGAACTCCCGTCTGGTGGGGTCCCTACTACAACGATAAGGATTGCAGCTTATGAGGGTCAAAATTGGAAGCTCCTGACTCAATTGCGGAAGCAATTTACGGAAACTCACAAATGTTCAGGCTTCCACAATTCCACAAACTGAGGTGGGGCGTTGAATGGGGTCTACTATACCGAGTGTGGTCAAGGATGCGCACGCGCGTGAAATATTTGAAGTCAAACTTTAAAGGCTCATCGGATTCTGGTGGGCGTATGTAGGGGCGGCCGCTTTAGGGTTATTAAGCAGGGTTGCCCGAGAGTCAGGTCAGATCTGATGAAGCCCAACACTACCATGACCAAGCCGTAAGCTGTAAGTTGTGAGATTTGCAGAGATCTGCGCAGAACGGCTGAAATACGCGCCATCGCATGGTCCAGCAAGACGTCAAGGTCTGCTGTCGGTACCACGCTAAAGGCATCTAACAGCCTTGACAATTCAGGGTTTGCAACAGCAACATCGAGACTTGCCTGCTGAAGTCCAGCTGACGGGCTACTGCCTCGAGCCTGGAAACGTTTCACCTGCATTCAAGGTGCTTGCGGAGGTCGGCGCAGGTCATGGTCTTCGGAATCAGGAGCTTCTTGTCCAGGGCCGGCAGTCCTGCGCAAGGCGGGCTTCTGCACAGGATAAACTCATCAAATCAGCTGCAGTAAAGCTAGGCCACCGTAGAGTATGGTACGCCTTTGGCACCCTCGGCATTATGAGGTCTGTGCCAGCAGCTCTTCCAGCTAAATGGGCGCAACCTTTCTGAGTGGCAAATGACGGGGATATCTGGCGAAGAAGTTGCTGTGAAGTTCTTCCTATGAAGCCCAAGCTATTTCACTAAAAGGCGCTACCGGTGAAAAGGGCTCGCGACCCAATAAAGACAGGTTGTCTACACACAAAGCCGCCATCCATTTGCGCGGTTTCCATACTCTAGTTAAGCTACTAGAGTATGGATAGGGAACAACTTGGCTTCCCACAGAACGGTAACTTAATGTGAAATTCTTAACAGCAAGCCAGAAGCAAGTTTGGTGCTAAAATACTATAGCCCATATTATTGAAACCCCAAGATGGTAATCTCTAATTTTGGGAAACCCAACCCCCAAGCCTAAACCCTAAACCCTAGAGTCAAGTCCTGGCCCCTCAGCCTGGTTAATGAGCACAGGAACACGGTCTGGATGCTTCCTAGGCTGAGCACTTGCGTTCAGCTGCTTTCCAAGACCCCGACACCTGGCGGTTTGGGGTTTAGGGTTCAGGGTACCCTTTCTGGGTGTAGCACCATACATTACCTTGCTGAATAAACATTCGTGTTGAAACTTGAAACAGGTAGCTGCAGCTTGTCACGCCAAAGTACTCTGTGACATAGCCTGGCATGGGAGGCATGTCGTATCCACAACAATGGCAAAGTGCCGATGTATGATCTAACAATGGGAAATTGCCGATGTATGATTTGCAGAATATCCACGTTGCATTGCCGAGACTCTTCCGAATTCGCCTGGCCTTTTCGCTTGGGTCGGAGTCGTCCTCGCGTGATCAAGGCAAGCCCTGCGAGCTACAAGGGAGGCAGGACCTGCTTCTACAGACTATATAAATAGCTTAGATCAGGGGACTGGCATTTGTGCCCTTTCGAAAGGAATAGAATGCAGAAGTCTATGACAACCGTGAAAGTCTGGGTCTAGACATCGGACGCACTTTTTCGGTTTTTGCAAAGCTAGATTCGTATAAGCTGCTGTCTAAACTCCTAGTATCCCCCTTAGTAACTCCTAACAATTCCCTATATAATCCCTATATAGTCCCCTTCAAGGAGTCCCTGTTCGCGCCCACACATACTCAGGCAACTGCAGTCAGAGCCATCCACTCTGAATTGCCTCAAGTCTGGCAATGGCAAGGGAAAAAACCCTAAACCCCAAACCCTAAACCCCAAACCTTAAACCCTATCTGACTCCGTGAGTCCTTGCCAGCAGATGTTGTGGCTTTGGCCTTTTGCTCCTTGAGGGGGGGAGAGAGAAATGAAGAACAGGAAGCTCTCAAGATCCTACGTACGCTTAAAATGCGAGTCTCTGAATAAAAGCAAGGGCTAGAGGAGAAGAGCACTTTCAATACCCTAAACCCTAAACCCTAAACCCTAAGTCTCTAGATTTCTCCAAAAGCTGCGCTTAAAGGCTCAGCATTTTCCGCATGGCTGCGGACAAGCCCAATTCAGAACGACTCTGTCCCGGCAGGCCTTTTGACAAAGCCCACCCACATGAAAGATTCCAAAGCAGGAACCGGGGTCCCCCTTAACATACCCCAAATATTGCAACCCTTTATTACTATTGCAGGAACCTCCGGAAAAGGAAGACTACCAATGTTAAGAAACCCCAATCCCTATAAACCACTATACATTCCCAGGTACCATGTCATTTCCATTTTCAACTTGATTCTCCGTTATAGGGGGGTCATATCCCTATACCCTAAATCCTGAACCCTTACCCGCCCCCCCGCATGTTAGTAGGCCACACCTTGGGAGCAGCTCCATCCATCTTGAACTGCTGGACATTGGGGATTTCCGCCTGCCAAACGGCGGCCAGCTTTGAAAGATGTTAAGCGCATTGGCACATCAAACCGGCACAAACCTGTATGTCAGGCAGTCATCAGGTGATTAACTCCGCGACGCACGAAACCCGTCACCACACTAGAAACATGAGTGATGAACCCTTGCCGGTAAACCTGTAGCATCCTAAGCACGCATAAAACCTTAATCCTGGAAGCCAGTTAGCCTCCTTCCGCTCCTCAGCCGCAGGTCGCAGAGATTCAACCTTGAAGTAGATCACCCCTTCTGTCGCCTCCTCGCACGCAAGGGCCAACTCAAGGGTTCGAGTGTGAGGGCTATGGGGTGGGCGGTGGGTGGGGAAGCCGAAAAAATGGGCAATCCTTCAGAATAATGCCAGTGAAGTTCAGAACCGCAACATATGCCCCACAAAAGAAGCTCGTCGAGAATGTGCTTATTGCAAGCCAGCAGAATCTGTTACAAGCCTGTGTGGCGGAATGGCCGCCCAAGCCTTTTACACACCCAGTGTTTTTGATTCACAGCCATATATTATTCCGTGATTATGGTGTGGGGCGTTCAGAGGAGACGGAAACCCTTGGGCACCCCGGCTGCTTTTCTCTGAATAGGCTAACATCAGAAGCTCCAAGCCATGTCAAATTGGTGAAGAAGATTGATTTTTGTTCTGGAGACTTGGGCCCAGGGGCCTGGGCCCCGATCGCTTGGGAGAAATATGCCAAAGGCAACCGCCATTTCCTGCGCTTGGCTCGGACTTTGAAGCACTGTTTCTTGGCGCAAACAAACACCTGGACATCATCTATTTCCGAGAGAAGCCGCCGTCGATTCAAATCAATACAAAGTGACAACTCCAGTCGGACCGGCATCGGGCCCTGCAAAAATACGGGCTCGCAACGACCCTCCAAGGCTCACACTGGAGATTCTAAAGTGGCTAAATACGGATATATAAAAATCAGTTTAGGGTTCAGGGTTGAAGGCTTAGGATGGATAGAAATGGTATGTAGGGAGTCTGTGGGCTTATGGGTATTGCCAAAGGCAGGGAGCCCGGTTATAGCTCCCATAAGATCATCCTGCTCATTTGGACTTCCCCTTTTAAACCAGGAAACCCTAAACCCCACAACCCTAAACCCTAAAACCCTAAACCCTAAAACCCTAAACCCTACAAGGAGATCTGTCCTTGTCGAGCTCCTCCAGAGTCTTCGCCATTGGCACCTCTACCACGGTCTTGGAGCCTTGCCGCATGAGCTGTCAGAGTTTTCGGGATGTCAAACGCTCGCATGGCCGTTTCCCAAACAGAACGCAGAGGCAAATCCAAAGCTGCAGTTTCGTTGCCATCATAACTCTGGCATCCCGCGCAAAACGCATCTCACAGTACACTAGCTTCACTAGATACCGAAAGTTGCAGGACGTCTGTCCCCTAGGATAAGTGGGAATAGTTCATGCGCATCTTTCAAGTGAGTCCGGCACACCTCTACATATAAAGTCAAGGCAAACATGCCTTTCCTACTGAAAGTACTCCGAATGCGGCCTGGACATCCTGCATCCACAAACCTGCATGTGCGGACATGTTAATTACACTGAAGACATTTCGGCTTCGAATTGAAAAATCTCCTTCACCTGAAGCCTAGAATTGTGCTGGGTCCATACTGTACCAGCATGTTTTCCTTCAACGCGCGGATTTCAATTTTCAGGCAGTCTGGAAGAAATATTTACTGGTGCTTAGTGGGGTATACGGGAACCGGGAGCGTAATCCCCATATAATGCTTTCCTTTATTCCCCAGTAAACTTGATTCAAAAAAAAGAAAAAACAGTAGGCACATCCCCAGTAAACTTGATTCAAAAAAAGAAAAAACAGTAGGCACATCCCACGTTCAAGCCCCTAACTGTGCCGCACGGCCTTTGCACAGAGAGACTTTGCTAGCTGGCGTGGCCCACTTGCACTTCTCGCGGGCAGTGCCAATGAACCTCATTGAATCCAGTAGGACCTACCCCACAAGACTTCAGGTCTCTGCGAGCAACCCAGTACATATTGCCCCAAAAGGGTTGGCCCAAAGTCTAGGACGGCCCAACATGAGCACCATTATGTACCATTATCATGTCGACACACCACTCAGGTCAAGCACTCCCACCACATGCTCTCTGAGGCGGGCAGAGGAGGTGGGCTCACAGGTTGCTAGGGCTGGAGCAGGTTTGGGGGAATCTCGGTGCAGGGCTTCAAATGGTTTAAGGACACTAAGTTTAAGAACACCAAGGTTCACTTGAATTCAACATGAGCATCCTCATAACTAGTGTTTCAGGATGCAACTGAAGGGAGAATCTTTGTGTTTTTGAGCACTCTTTGAGCCCTATAGGTGTAACTGAGCAAAGTAATCCTGCGGTTGTGAGTATACGAGTAATTAGTAGCTCCTTGGGGGTCTGGAGTCTACCTATGATGATGCACGGTACCTACTCGGAGCCCCAGGGTACAGCAACGTGTTTACCGCGTTGGTGCTGCCGGAACTGGTGCTGCTGCTGCTGGGACTGGGACTTGGGACTGGGACAGGGGACTGGGGCTGGGCTGGTGCTTGCCGCCGCCACTACTTAGGCTGAAATAGCCATAGCCAGCTCTTTTGGATAACCTAGCTCGCAGAAATTCTACAATGAACGTCGGGGACTCTCACATAGTCTCCAAAGCCTGTATGCCTCCTGAAAAAGCCCGAAACATGGGTGAACGATTTCCCGCAAACGTGGATTCTCCATCACAACCCTACAAGGATAGCAGTGGTCTTGCCTTGGGGGCTCCATATGAAGGATAAATTGTGACAAGGAATTCTCCTTCATAGGTCTGAGGCCTGGACGCAGCACCTGTCAAGCAGAGAGGTTGATGATACAGGCTTTCTTTCCTGGGTTCCCCAGTAACACCCTAAAAATAAGCGTACCCTTTACCCTAATATTCAACTGTAACAAGGAAACCCCAAAAATAAAAAGGGAAAAAGGGTACTACTGGGGTAATTACTTAGGAGTCTAAACTCCCGGTATCCCCCTTAATAACCCCTATATATTGGTAGTCCCCTATATAATCCCCTATAGAACCCGTTTTAAGGAGTTTAGACTATGGTACCTAGTTTCAGGGCTGCTGTGTAGTGTTCGGATTGGAACATGAGGCATCTACTTCGGAACTTCTGTGCGGCAAGTTTCTGTCACTTCATGGAAGACCTTTTAGATCCAGAGATCTTGCAAAAGGGATACTTCGTAGCGCTATCATGCAAACGCCTCTGAACCAAATAACATTTTGCAGCCTGAAGTAATGCAGCTCCCTGGCCAAAACTGAATACCATGCAAATGGGAACAACAAGGGGCCTTCAGAAGCCCCTGGCAGTGCCTGCCCAGTCCTGTGAATGCCTTTGAAATTGCCCTGCATACCTCAGTTATGACTATAGCTCCAAACACTCGATCACAACACCATGAATCAGACCCTGAACCCTGTAGTCCCCCTTAAGTAGATAGAATATGGGGTATATGGGGATATATGGGGATCTTATTATAACATACCCAAAGCCAGATTCTATCTACTGAAGGGGGACTATGGCCCATACACCTTCACCCTAAACCGAATGAATGTGCCAGCAACTCCAATGCGTTAGTGCAATGCCTTGCCTGTCGTATTGTTGGGGACAATGAGCTTCTGCTGCTCGAAGGAATCCTTCGTGTTCACCTCAGCCAGGGAATACTAATAACAGGAAATAAAGCTGCAGGCAAGCCGTAAAAATAATCGTAGTAATAGTGGTCATAGCAGGAATAGCAGAAAAATATTCATAATAATAAATCGAAGACTGAGAATAAGTAGTAATACGAGTGCAAATAACATTAATAGATATAATACTACGGATGTGGTTCCTTTCTCAAAACTATGGGCCCCTTTGGGTTGTAGATTCTATTACGGCACCCAATATTGAGGGGTACCAAATGGTACCCTAGTTTCCCTAAACCCTAAACCCTGCAAACCCTAAGACTTAAACCTATAAGCCCTAAGCCCTCACAACCTAAACCCTAAACCCTTTATAAACCCTAAACCCTAAGCCCGCAAAACCTAAACCCTAGACCCCAAGCCCTCAATACCTAAACCACCGCCAAACTCTAAACCCTAAGCCCTCAAAACCTAAACCCTAAACCCTAAAACCCTCAGCCCTGAAAACTTAGGCCCTGAGGACTTCTCGGAACAGGCTCAGCTTCAGGGTTTTCACCCATTGCGGGTGAACATTAAGGAATGGAAAAGAAAATGGAAATTACAGGGATTATTTATAGGGGTTATGTAGGGATCATAGGAAATATCGGGGTCATATTGGGATAAGGGAAAAGGAAATGGAAACAATGTGTTTAGGGTTTTGTGTGCTTGTGTCTGCTCAGGGCCTGTGCTTGGCTTGGGCTTGCAGGATCGCTTACTGGGAGTGAGCAGGGAATAGGGTTTAGAATATAGGGACTATATAGGGTCATCTAGGGGTAATACAGGGAATATGGGAACGGTGGTAAAATGGGAATAAAGGAAAAGAAAGGGCTACTACATGATATAATAGGGTAGGTATTAGGGTTATAGTAGAGGTTGAAGAAATATCATCCCCATATAATCCCTGTTTAACTATATTCACTTATTCCCTACTTAGCCCCAGTAAGATCGCGTAGGAGGAAACAAAAGGCTTGACCGGCTCACCGGTGAGAACTTGGGAATAGGAGCCTGCGCAACTCCCACCCTAAACCCTAAGCCACAAAACTGCCTAAACTACAAAAGAACCTGTGCTTGATGATGGTTGGATTAGCAGCCGTGACCTGAGAACGGCGTACGGAGCAGTGTAAGCTGGGATTGAATCCCCTACCCCTAAACCATCCACCCCCCTTATAATAAACGTACCCGTAATATGGGATTGTTCCATTTTTTCGGCTGGGTTATTGTTAGGAGGGGGGTTTGGGCTCACTATTAGGGGAGGAGATTACATGAAACGCGGTACTCCGCGGTACATGCCACGGGGAGATCTTTATCATGGCCGTAATTCAAGCCGTCATTGCGCAAAAACTCCCTCTAGATGCAAATATAAGCAGTGATGTACTCAAATGTCATCTTCCAAGCAGGAGGTGCCCAAGAGGGTCTACACTACACCAAACATGCCGCACGACTATCCCGAAAACAAGACTTGAGTTAGATTCTTAATCCCTGACCAAGCTTGGCAAGACCTTTGCACGACAGAGCAGCACAAATCACAGGCACGTGGTCGGGGTAGCGCTTGCGCAGCTTCTCCATCTCGACAGAGCACGGTGTCGTGTTGGGCTTTCCAGGACTACATGAGGTCTATGTCATGTCATTGGCAAGTAAGGTTTGCAAATGAGTCAGATCAAATAGCAAAGAAAGTCTCTACATTTACGTGATGTAATGTATGGCCCTTCAGTCTTGATGCAACCCGCGCTCCCTCTTTAGGTGCTTCAACTTTCATCTTCCTCAAGCTTATCGATGGGCGCATTGTCATCCTGACTCCGTAGCTTCGGGGGCCGTGTCTTCACCATATGCCATGTCTTCCAAGCCAATCCCGCTAAGAAACTGCGCAAAGCAATGCTTTAAAGGTTGAAGGCGCTACTATCCCCTCAGTCCTTATTCAGAGCTCTTCTTGAATCAGCAAACGAAGGCTCTGCAGCATGGAGTCTTGGCGTTATCCTGCTGTAGGATCCCCTGCCTTACACCACACAGTCCCTGATCTCAGCCAAAATGACCAAAAATCTAGACCCCTCGAGCCGATCCCATCGGGGGTGGCCTTGCTCGGATCCATGCTGCACGAAGGAGGCAAGAAAGGTACGAACGCAAGCTAAGCAAGCACTCGAGCAGCTGCACTGCGGCACCATTCGGTCTCAATGAGGGGTTAGGGGGCAAAGCGGAAGGCCTATGTTGATAGCATTGCGTGGTTTGCCGCTGAATGTTGGGATGCTGTTTAGAGCTGAATCACACTCAAGAGCACTAGGGGTACCATTTTGGGGGTCCCCTTAATAAGGATCATAGTTTTGGGGTCTATAGTGGGGTCCCCCTATTTTGGGAAACTACCACAAGGCAAAGCTCTTTTCCCTGCAAAGTCCCTAAACCCTAAACCCACAAGGGCAAAGCTCTTTTCCCTGGAAACTCAGCACGCAACGCTGGCCTTGTAGCTGTTGAGCCAGCCGCTTCCAGTTTTCCAACTCTAAGACCTAAGAGTCGACATAGGGATGTTATAGGGCTTATATAGGGATAAGGGAAAAAGAATGGACACCTGAGTATTTTATTGTGGTTATATTGGGGTTATATAGTAACAATGGGAAACAAGATGGAAACTATACGGATTATATAGGGGTTATACAGGGATTACAAGATTTATATTGGGGTTATATAGGGATAATGGAAAAGAAAATGGAAACTACTATAGCATGTTGGGGTTATATTAGGGTTATACTGGGGTTATATGGGGATAATGGAAAAGAAAATGGAAACTACTATAATGGGCTATATAGGGTATATATTGGGGCTTAGGGGTTATATAAGGATAATGGAAAAGACAATGGATACTACTATAGCAAAATAGAGTATATATTCAAGCCGTCAGCGAATGCCAGGAATAGATGGAGTGGCAGCTTCCCATTTTCATGGTCCACACAATTTGCGCCGCAGTGCTCATGACAGGAACTGGTCAGTAGATGGTACGCAAAACCCTCTTTTTATTGAAGCCATATAGTAGTTTCCCAAAATAGGGGGAACCCCAATATAGACCCCCAAAGACTATAAATCCTTCATAGTGGGACCGCCAAAACGGTACCCCTCATCTTAGGAAACCCCATATGCACTTGTGAGAAGACATTATTCCCTGGAAGTAGTGCTAAGATCCGAAAAAGGGATGATGACGGCGTGCTTGTTTGATTTGTACGATGAGCTCAGGGATCAACATGGGTCAGCTGTTTAGTCTAGTCTTACTAGTGTTCTAGGCTTCAGACGACCGATCGTTCACGCTCCTGCCAGCGCTCAATTTCTCGCTGCTGTTGTGCCTGACATACAGCACAGCTTCCTCTTGCTGGAATTTTTACACGCAATCGATATTGATTGTTCTGGCTGCTGGCGGCTGGGGCTCATAACCCCAAAGGATACAATGGTTTCCCGGAGCCTTTTGAACAAAAAGGCTGTGCTCTCCCATCCTAGACAATCACTCATGAAAACCGATCGTGCCCTCCGAACAGATGTCCACTGCCTTACACAAGTAGAGACACGACCGGGTGTAACTCTTCAGTACGTTCATAACCAAAAAACCGCAGCTACACTAGACCTTCCGAGCCCAATTTCCATCCGGTCTAGTGCGCATGACATGTCTCCTCAGGCCACGCACAACCAAACATCCTGCAGCCTTTATGTGACTAACGCCTGCATGATACGTCTGTCCAGTCTACACACCCAATCTGACCCCTAACAAGTGCGGTCTGCAAGGACTTTCTTCGCATTTGTACATAGGGTGCATGGTTTAGGGATGTTGGAGAATCAAAAGTAGAGGGTCGCAGAGCACGTGACGGATGACATCTGATTTGTCTGACGCCGGTCGGGAGATAGAAAATCACATGGAAAACAATGGAAAATAGATGGACACTCACGATTCAACTTCACTTGTAGCCTGCTTAGGAATCCCAAACGAGGCAGAGGACCTCTTCGAAGCGGAGTGTGCCGCATCGACGAAGCCTTTGGTCCACACTTGATGTGGTGCAGAAGTGGAAGGGCTCTGACAGGTCCCAAGAATTTGGGATGTAGGTGTGAGAACCTTTGTAAAAGCGACACAGCTTCGGGGGACTAAGCATTTTTGGGCTGTCTGCTATTCGGATTAGCACATCTAGCTGTGGCTGTCTACTCGGGCTGCACCACGCAAGGTGGAGTGCTCCGTCAATTCACGGGAGGGGCTGAGCCCCAGTCATTGCCGCAACTTGGTGCGGTTCATCTCCTGAATCAACAGGACAGCGCGGGATCCGGCGAAATCAACAAACATGAGGTGGGCGCCGGTAGGTGAAATCCCATCAAACCCCGCAGTGCGGGAGGTCAACGACGATGTATCCGGATAGCATCATACATAATCATGATTCCCCATGGCTTATGGCACGGAGATGTGCGTGGTGCTCACATGATGAAACGGTCGCAGTAGCAGCTTCTGGCGTCCCCCACGAATACAAGCTTCTTAACTGTAGGCATAGGATGTCCACCTTCCACGGGCAGCTAAGGAACCGGCCACTGGTGGCAAGTGCCTGCAACACACGGAATTCTGCGGCCACAGCTGACCAACATGAAGAACAAAGCATTCTGGAAGCCTACATAGCTACGCTTCCCAAGAGAAGCAACAGTACGCCTGATATGTAAGGATTCATACATGCTCACAAGACAGCTTCCATAGGCTGGGGACCGCCAAATGAAAAGCATTCTGCAGGGAGACTCCAGACAAGGACCAAGACCTCTTGGTACTGCCACTGGCTCTTGAACCGCTATCAAAATCGTACTCTACACTGGGGCCTATGGTAGTCCCCTCCCATCAATAGTGAGCCCACCCCTCTGATGATAAATGTTCCCCCCGTGACATGATGGTAATATAGCGGGGGTATCCACTATTTGGGCGTGGGTGTTTATTCTTATCATTACTGGGGAGATTGAACCTATTCAGAATACAACTCATCTGGCCTCAATGAGTTGTGGCTTCCCAGCCCGCCTGAGCTCTGGGTAGCCGTCGGTAACAGCGCGCACAAGGTGGAGCATCGTTTCAAACTTGTTGTCCTTTACTTCCACCATTTGCCCTACTTCGTAGGTACTTGCTAGATTTTTTGTGGGTGAGGGGGGCTCCACATTGCCCAGTGATGAGAAAAGACTGCGGGAAAATTGAGCCATGGCTACAGGCGCTCATCTGAGCACGAGACTGTTGAAGCAGCGGCACCTTGCCAGCTTGGCGAAACAAGTTTATCCTTATAACCTTATAGGGTAGAGTTTTGATGCCCTAAAGTGGGACCACCTAAGAAGATCCACATCAGGCAGGGAACGGCCCAGTTTTCTGAAGTAAACAATCTGGAAGGAGGCTGAATCGGTCCAAAAGGCTGGGAATGTTGGGAGGATTGAAAGGTTGCCGACTTGCTTGCTGAAGCCGGATCCGAACTTCGAGCAGAAGTGCCGGAGCATATCTCATGGTCTGAGGACGCAGCTTTGAGAGCATTGCCCGCGCGCCGCTTCGTGCTGTTGTGGCCTTGGGCTGTCGGAGGCTTAGCCATCCATATGTCTTCTCTGCATTCGACATAGGCTGACGCGGCAGTCACAAGGTCCTCGCGCACTTTCTCCTGCATCTGGCTGAACTTCTGAAGGACCTTCTCAGACAGGACACAGCTGCGCGAGTCAAGTATTGATATAATGTAGGAGTAACATTGAGCAACTATGGCAAGAACAAGACACGTGAGAACGAGGATAGCGAGGGTAGTAGATGCATTTCTGTACCAGTATCAACATCAAAACACAACTAACTCTTCCACGTCCAGCACAAGCACTTGCCACCTCCTGGTGCTCCCTCTCGATGGGCTTCAATCGCCTTGACTAACATTCTGCACACTTCTGCACATACCCGAGCCCATGAGAATCAGCAAGACTAGATGCAGACGAATTGACCACATCTCATGAAGTTGCAGAAGTGGGGAGGATATATATATATATATGATAGAGAGCCTTTTAGGGTCTATTTGGACGCTCAATTAAAATATTTCTTTGATTTCCATTCATTACGAAATATTTTAAATTAAATAGATTAATTAAATTAATTCGGCTAGAATTAATTCAATTAATTCATTTAATTTATTTCGGGCACAGAAATAAATTAAATAAATTACTGAAATTAATTCGGCTGGATTTAATTTAATTGATTTATTTAATCTATTTAATTTACTTAATTTAAATAAATAGAGGAAAATGGACCTGAGCCAGTCTGGAATTAATTGTATTTAATGTATTAAATTTATTTTGGGCCCAAAAACAAATTAAATACATTAAATAAATTAATTCCTGGTTGG